TCTACCTCTTGGCCTCTTGTGGGATTGAGGGAACACCAGGGCCATCGTGGCTGCAAGCCGGAATGGGGGCGGGAATGGGGCAGATATTGCTGGCCCTGCCTGTCCCCCATCCTAATCACACCAGAGATAGTCCCCATTCCCTGCCCTGCTGCCCCCACCCATCCTGGTACACTCTTAAACCCATCTCGCACAACACCGCAGTGTCCAGCCTGGCTGTTTTGTCCTTAATTACCTTGATCTGTCCCCACTGCAGAGAGAGAGAACTGGGGACAGCTCACATCTAAGCCATACAAATGTCCCTACCTGAGTCAGCAGGGACTTGCTACCATGCATCCTGCTGCACCTCTGGCCAGGAGAGCCCCCAGAAAGGCATGACTTGGCCTCAGCATGGCAGCAGGGGTGGTGAACACATACCGGGCAGTCAGAGAGAGATGTCCTGAAGCACGGAGGTGGTGGAAGAGAGAAGCAAAGGGGAAAGCCACCAGCTGGTACTGGGCTTCGGGGAGAAGGATGAGCAGGTCTGCCCAGCACATTGAGCACCTTGCTTCTTCAACTGCCTCCGATGCCTGGAGAAAGGACTGAGGTAAGGGCTGCTCAGGCTCCTCTTTATACATTGCAGGACCTCAAAAAACCTGAGCGGAGCCAAGGAAACAGAGGTATCTGCAGGAAGGGGAGCATGTTTTTTGCATTCGTCAGTGCTGACTCCTTCAAGCACCTCTGTCCCAAGGTTTGTGTGTAGGTGGAAAAACTTGTGGTTGGTTACTTGCTCTGCCAGACACCTGGGCCATTACCACATACTTTGAAAACAGTGAGAGCGAGCTACTGAGATAAGAGCCTCTTGGAGCTGCCACATGTGCCATGCTGGGATGCACCTGAGAGCAAAATCTCCAGGTACTTCCAGAGGCTTGGTCCTTTCTCTTTGCTGCCTCTCAGCTCAGTCCTTCACAGAAAGCTGCGGCTTTTTCCCAGTTCACTTGTTATGGGGTGGTGATGGGGATAGCCCAATATTCAAATGCCTGGTCACAGAAAGGAGAGGATGGGTTCTGCCACTTGTCAGTGACGAGGGAGGGTGAGCCCCTCAGCCCCACCACTCAGACCAAGCTACAGGGCCTTTTTGTTTACCAGAGCAAAAGGAATAGCTCCATTCTCTCCAAACAATTTTTCTTCAAGACAATAAAGAAAAAAAAAATAGGGACTCACAGAGATACTTGTGATGGTAGAAATTAGTCATTACAGTTAAACTGTTTAAATCACTCATTCATTTAAGTATGTGTCATGTGAGAAAGCAAAAGGTCCTCTTTTGGGACAGACTGGAAAGGTGATTTGAAGAGCGATCTCTGGGGTGACATGGAGCCAGTTGCTATTGCTCTTGTAATGCCACCAGCAGTATGTCATGCTAAACAGAAAAAAAATCCCAAGAAAATCAGTCTACAGGACTTGACTCTTCTTTATGAGATACAGCTAATAAAAACCGGACAAATTCAGATGGAAAGCTCATGGATCTTTTTTTCAAACTCAGTTGATAGCTGCTTTATTTTAGGCATACAAACAGTGTGAATGCAAAGAGGAATACCATGGCATTTCCTTCTGGAAGAAAAAAAATAACATATTGAGGGGGTTGAAGAAGTAAGGTTTTCCCCTTCCTTTGATGAATGCTTCAAAATATTTAGATTAGTCTGTTTTTCAATAGAAAGAGCAAAATTGATGCCTGAAGTTACAGAAAGAACAGTGCTCATTAAAAAAAAATGTTGACTTAAAAAACATATCAAGTCTGACTTTTATGAATGCTTCTGCTTGTCACTGAGCTTTTCAAGCTATCGTGATGTTGGAAAGCTTGCCGCATAGTTTGGATGAGTTATTGGGTTATAAGAAGGTGAGGGACCAAAACGCCATGGAAAAAATTATTAGAACAAATGCTGCAGAGAAACTGGCTGTATTTTGCTGCGTTTGTGCGGGGTATATATTAAAACCCACCGATAGCACTGGAGAGAAGCTTTTTCCATGTCAATTTTGGCATGCACGGCATGCAACAACAGCCTGGTTTCACAGGACTCATTCTGCCAAATTCATGGAGCCCAGTGTTGACTTTGCTGAGTAAATATTTTTGAAGGCATTTGCAGAGCCGGCTTAAGCAATTCCCTGCTATGGTTCTGCAAAAATGCCATTGCTTTTCGAGAAGCAGAAATGAATTTCCACAGTAGCACTGGGAATGTTAACACACTGCTCGTGCCTCTCATTTTACACCACCAGATGCCGGGCAGTGGAAGAATGATCTTAGAGCAAGCATGGTGAAGCATGTGGCAGAGCATTATTTTGTTTCATTTGCATGTACTAAACAAGCAACTGCCTGACCCCTGGCTAAGGAATTACTCGTTTGGTAAAACAGCAGGTGAGGAGAGCAGGCTGACCACTGTCAGAGAGAAACCGGGGCATGGAATTAGAGCAGATATAACTCACATACTAACTTTGGGCTAGTTGCTTTCTTGGTGGAATATAGCACTGTTTTGGGAACAGTTTTGTTTGCCTATTGTAATATAGCCTGTGCTGATCTGCTGCAGGACACACTGCAAAGTGAGAGACGTACTTTGAAAGCAGAAAAAGTTATTTGAAAGAAAAGGTCAGACTGACATGGTTTGTTCTTTCTCCAGAGAAAAGCACGTAAATGGGAAGGGAGGCCATTAAATAGGGTTCAGGATGCCTGAACTGGGCTCCTGTCGCAGACTTTCTCTGTGACCTTAGGAAAGCTGCTTAACTCCCATCCCCAAAACAGAGATGACAATTTCTGTCTCCCTGTGGTGCTGTAAGGCAGAATCAACCACCAACCTTGAGACTTTACGTTTGGCTGTGATAAGGCAGGACATGAAAGTACCTAAATGAGAGAGGAATTAAGAAATAAATGCAATGCTTTATTAAAACACAAAAATGCAAAAATCCTTCCTTTATTTTCAGGCACCAGTCCCACACTGGCTTTTTGCTGCTTGTTACCATGCCAGATTTGCTGACTACTGCCTGTAAATGGCCCACTGCTGCTTGTGGCAAAGGCCTTCTTGTCTCCCTGGATAAAGGGACACATCCCAATAGTTTAAGGATCATGTGGAAGTCTCTTATCGCAGCCATGATCCCGCTCACGGAGGTCTGAACTTGTGCCTGTGGATGGGGGAGGAAAGGCATTTCCGTAAGTTCTCATGCAATTTTTTATATCTTCCGTGCTTCTCGGTACCCAAATCAGTAACTAAAAGTGTATGTTAATTGGCAATAAATTAAATTAAGGGAAATTTCTGAGACTCACTTTTTTGCCTGCAGTATGGCCTTGCACCTCTTGAGCTCAGCTGCATCAGCGGAACTTAGTGCAGGTGAGGGGCCAGCCCTGTGCCAGCAGTGGCAAAAGAGGTGATTTATTGTCAAGGCAGAATCCTATTAGGAACCCCCTTTTCTCTTTCAGTGTTGAGACCAAGGCCAGACAGAGATGGATCCTCTTGTACCTCCTAAGGTTTTTTGGACATTTAGAACAGGGACTGACAGCACTGGAGACCATCCCCTGCCCTGGTTCCTCTCAACCTTACCACAGAGCTCCTGAGACGAGGCATGCAGCTCTGAGGGCCATGCACAGTAGCCAGTGATGGGGGAAAAAAGGTCTAGGGCTGCATGGTCTTCCCCTTCCTTCCCCTCTCACGACACGCAAGCCCTGCAGAGAGCCAGTTCTTGTCCTGGCATCTCCTTTTGGAGCAGCTACAGCTTTTCTGATCCTTGTTATGAAGCCAGCAGATCCACTTGTGCACTGGCTCCCTTTTTGCAGCAGCACAGCACCTGGATGTCAGCACTTCCACGGCACTCCTCTGGGCTCCCTCGGCAACAGGATGAGGGCAAAGAGGACCCCCAGCCTGCCGGACTGCATTAGGCAGGGAGGTGAACCTGCTCCTCTGCTAGGCACTACTGAGACACACCTGGAATGCTGGATCCAGCGATGGGCTCCCCAGTACAAGAGAGACGTGAGCATGCTGGAGAGAGTCCAGCAAAGGGCTGCTGATGATGAAGGGACTGGAGCATCTCTGATAAGAAGAAAGGCTGGGAGAGCTGGGCGTGTTCAGGCTGGAGAAGAGAAGGCTCAGGCAGAGGGAGCTTATCAGTGTACTGATAAGTGCTGATGGGGAGGAATGAAGACAAGGGAGCCACGCTCCTCTTAGTGGTGCCCAGTGGCAGGACAAGAGGTGATGAACACAAGTTGAAGCACATGTTATCCCATCCAAACCCAACAAAATACTTGTTTGCATATGCATGTGTGTGTTTTGTGTGTGTGTGTATATGCATGTGTGTGTATTGTTTGGGGGGGTGGTGGTGTTTGTGCTGTGTATGCGTGCTGTGTGTAGGAGCAGGCACGTGTGTGTTTTGTGTTGCGAGTGTGGTGTGCGGTTGTGTGTTGTGTGCACAAGCGCATGTTTTGTGTGCGTGTTGTGTGTGTGTGTTGTGGTTTTCTGTGTGTTCAGTGGGCGTGGGGTGGTGGTTTGGGGCTGTGTGTGGCCCCAGCCAGCGCCTGGCTCCAGGGGGGTGCCAAGGCGGCCCAAGAGCTGCCTCAGTCCCAGAGAGGCCCCGATGGGGTCAGAGGCATGTGGGAGAGGGGACTGTGGGGCACATGAGGGTTTATGGGGCAGGCATGGGGGAAGTTGGGGGTACCCAGGATGTTAGGAGGCATGTGGGAGGTTGCGAGACCCCATGGGAGCTATGGGGCATGGAGGAAAGCACTATGACACCCAAAGGGTGAGGATACCGGGGGACAGAGTTGGGTGTGCATCCAGGGGATGAGGGGGAACCTGGGGGGGTTGTGGGCTACCCAGGGGAGTTGTGGAGCACCCATGAATGGGGAGTCTATGGGGCACAGGAGAGGTCAGAGGCACCCTAGGGGGCTATGGGACACCCAGGAAGTTGGGAAACCCCAGGGCTTTATAAGGCACATGATGGGGGGCAGGTCCCCTTTGGACAGGGTTGGGGGCACCCAAGGGGGCTCAGGGGCACCTAGAGAGGGGTGAGGTCACAGGGTCCCCCCAGAAACTAATGCCAGAGCCCAGGCCTGTGGCACCTCCTTTATTGCAGGCTCTATCGGAGCCCCCACTGGGAGGGACAATCCACCTCCCCACCTACAGCCCCCCCGCCATGTCAAGCCCCACGGGGGGGGTGGGTAGGTTGTATTGAGGTGCACGGGCAGCCCGCCAAGGCAGGAGACACGCACGTGGTGCTGGAGCTGCAGGGCCCGGTAGGTGCAAAGAACCCCTCCGCATCGGGCTCCTGGGCGCAGGCAGCCACCACCTCCGCGGCCGGTGCATGCACAAAGGTGTTGGAACGCTTGCAGGGCTGCCCCGGGACCGTCACCTGCCGGCGCGCCAGCATGATCTCGCAGTAGCGGTGTGCCGTGGGCACAGATGTCCGGGGGTGGTCCACGTGCTGCCGCAGGAACTTCCCATAGCGGCTCTCGCGTACCGCCCCTGCCAGCGCTGTCAGCAGCAGGGCCATGCACAGGACCCAGCTCGCCATGGGCACCTGTGGAAAGTGGGGTCAGGGCCATGTGGACTTCCGCTCCCCCCATTGGAAACCCCACCCTGGATGCTCGATTCCTCTACAAATTCCCCCTCCCAGACACCTGAGTCCCTTACAAATCCCCTCTAAATGCATGGGGACCCCTCCCAGATGCCTGGGGCATCTGTGGATCCCACCTGGATGCCCGGGTCCCCTACAGAACACCCCATGGACACCTGGGTGCCCTTCAGTTCTGCACTCCCCAGAAGCCTGGGTCCCCTATGGAGCACCCCCCCTGGACCCCTGGGTCCCCTATAGATCCATGCCCTGCCCTGACACCTGGATCGCCTACATATCCTCCCTTCCCCACTGGATGCTCAGGCTCCTCACAGTCCCCTCCCGCAGACACTCTGGTCCCCTGCGCATCCCTCACCCGCACCTCTGTGTGTGCCTCAGTTTCCCTTATGGCCTCGGGGTCTCCGCAATCCCTCCCACTCCTCTGTGCCTCTTTTATACTGGCCCCAGCTGGGCCCAATGGGCAGGGATCCAGGAGGAGGGGCAGGGCAAAGAGCAAGGTCCAGCAGTTGAGGGGGGGGGAGGTGGGAGGGAGCCAGGCATCCAGGAGGCCCTACTCCCCCTTTGCGGCCCCCCAAGGTCATTAGGTAGTCATTAACGAGCCACGTGACTGTCTGCCCATGTCCCCTTGGGTGCCCCCGTGCCCATGTTCCCTTGGTCCAGGCATTCTGGTCTCGGCCACGTGTCTCACGGGGGGGGGCGGGTAGGATACCTGGGTCCCCTTGGGTGGCAGGGCAAGAGACCTAGTTCCCTGGTGGGGGGGCAGGATGTCAGCATCACCTCAGGGGCAGCTGGCAGATGCCCCTGCCCCTCTTGGACCATGCGGTATGTGAGCGTCTGCCCCGTATTGCTTCAGGAGCTATGTGTCCCTTCCCCCCCATGCCCCCTCGCAGGCAAGTTCATACCCCTGGGACATGCCAGGATGCATTTTGCCTCACCGTTACCTCACACTGAAGCAGACAGAGACAAGCAAGAGCCAGGAGCCAGCCTGAGCCTGTCAAAACTCCATGCCTTTCCCTCAACCATCAGGGACAACCTGACGGAGCCCCAAGGAGAGCGTGTCCTCTCCAGAGGGAGAGGCTGTCACCACCTCCCCAGCAGGTGCAAGCGGTCTCCATCCTCCTCTTCAAAGACATGACAGAGGCTGTGATGGGAAGCAGCAAATGGAGGATGAGGAAGAAAGCTGACGGGAGCCCCCAGCTGCCTTTCTTCTGCATGAGCAACCAAGTTTGACCCCACCAGTGATTCAAGGAGGACAATGACACTGGATGCTGACACTCCATGAGTGGGCCTCAGCACTAGGGCCATGGCCTGCTGAGTGTGTGTCACCATCAGTCCTGACCTACTTGTCCCCAAGGACAGCACAGAGCTGCGCCCCTGTCTGTTCCAGGCCCACCATGTCCTTCAGCCTGGGGTGGGCTCAGTCCTGGGCACCACCTACCCCAAAAGAGCTGGAAAAGATCTAAGATTCCACGATGGAGGTGGAGAGAGCCCTGCCCTGGGCTGTGGTGGCATCTCTATGGCTCTGCAGGCCTCTCATCAAGAAATCCTCCTCAAAGTCACGCAGCCCCTCCAGCGGGAACAGCTTGGGCACCTGGCCAAAACCTTGCAGACATGGAAGACCAGCACAGCCCCCCTTGCTGACTCCCTGAGGCTGACGAGAGCCTGCTCCTGCTGGGCGTAGAAGCAGAATCGGGGGGTCTCATTACCATCCCCCCGGACACGCTCTACCTTCCACTGTCCTGGTGCAGGTGGGGAGGGGATGATGTCCCCAGGAGGAGGAACAAGCCTGGGTGCCTGGCAAGGGTCTGCATCAGCCCTGCGTCCCAGGGCTGTCTCTAGCTGGCACAGTACGGGTACCTGTGCTAAAGCCTACCCTACCTGGAGGACCCTCAGGCATCTTTGCCAGAGGTTGCTGTGGGGTTTGTTGGGTGAACCACAACCTGTGGTCCCCTCTTGTCCCAGGGGAGTTCTGACCGCCTGGCGCTGGCCTGGGCACCCCATCTCCCTCTCCCATCCCTGCCCAAGCAGGTGGGCTGACGGGAGCCTCCTCCTGCCCCCTGCGCTCCCCTCGGCTGCTGTCCCATGCCGCCCCGGGGTCAGCCCTGCCTGCCACAGCCTGGTGGGGTGCGCTGCTGGGGAGCGCAGGGGTGACGGCTGCGTGTGCCTGGGGCTCGCTGTGCAGCACGCGAGGCGGCAGAGCGAGAAGCTGTGGACGTCTGCATGGGTTAGCGAGGGCAGAGCAAGCCCTGCCCCCAGCTAACAGGAGGACTCTGCACCCCGTGCAGAGGGGACAGGAGGAATCACTCGAGGCACTTGGGGCAGCCCAGACCAGCCCCTTGGTGCCCCAGCTTCCCCATAGCATGGGAAGGGCTGGGTGGGCTGGTGCTGTCTGGAGAGGATGCCTGGGGGTTTGATCTCTACTCTCTCTCTTTCTATCTCAGCCCTTCAGCCCTTGGAGGATAACCACCATCCCTTGGGCTCTGCTCTGGCAACACAGGCCACCCTCAACCTGAGGCCTCCTGAGAAAAAGCCCCTGGCCAGGTTTAACCACTGAGCCGTGGGCTACTGTCTGCACAGAACCTGCAGGAGAAGGCACCTGCTTTTTGGGCTGTTGCTCTGTTTGAGCAGAGCCAGAGCAGCAAACCCCATCCTGGGGTGCTCTGCCCACATCTGCACAAGCCCGACAGTCGGTGTCGTCCCTGGCTGCCTGCAGGCCAGCTCCTCTGCTCAGGCATCTCCCGTCCCCGGTGCTGGGCTGCCACCAGTACCGATGTGCTCAACCCAGGGGCCGCAGAGCAGCGCTCTGTGTGCTCTGGGGGCAAGAGCCTTGCTGGCTCCCCGGGGACCCAGGCGTGCATTGTAAGGCACAGGGAGGAGATCGGGGTGCCCCAGAAAGGAGCTCCGAGGGCCACGGGGTGTTGCGTGGGGAGGCAGTGGGGCGAGGCTGAGAGGCAGCGCAGGGCTCTGTCTGGATCGCAGCAAGAAAGGCCGGCAACAAACGGCTTAAGAAGATAAAAGCTTTAATAAGGCAGAGGAAGAAGAGGAATAGAGACAGCGAGTAAACCTTAACAGCTCGAGTAAATCATGGTAAGTAAATCAACCAGCCCAGGGTGATTGCGACGTGACTCACTACCTGCCGCGGTCTCAACGGTCAGGATCGACGGGTTTCAGCCCTTGCCCCGCTCAGAGCGGCCTGTTGAAGACTCCTCAAATACGGTGTCTTCCGCAAGGCTCCCGATGCGCCAGGTGCACCGAGGGGTGCAAGGAGGGTCCGGGAGCATCCCAAAAGGCACACCGAGGCCACTGGGAAGCCCCGGGAGGTACGCGGCGGCCCTGGGTCACCCCAAAAGACACGAGGGGCCGGGGGTGCTGCAAAAGGCACGGAAGGGCCAACAGGGACGCACTGGGAAGCGTGCCGGGGCTGCCGCAGCACGGGGGCCTCAGGGTCTACCGAAAGATCCCCGAAGTCCCAAAGCAGAAAGTCCTTGGGGAGGGGACGGGACCGAACAGGACAGGAGGGCTCTGCGGGGCCAGGAAGGGCACGGAGAGGCCACCGTGGGAGCACCGAAAGGCGCGGGGAGGTGGCTGGGGCGCACCAAAAGGCGGCTCTGCTGCCCAGAAAGGTGCAAGGGCCACCCTGGGATGCTTGCGAGACCCCGGCTGGGCTC